CTGGGATTACAGGTGTGTGCCACTGGGCCTGACTTCGTGTGTTTTTTTGTTTTTGTTTTTGTTTTTAATGAAGTATCTGTCAATCTCTTGTCCATTCTTTAAATTGATTGTCATTTAACAGAGTTATAGGAGTCCTGCGTTTGAAATTTTAAGCTCAATATTATAAGAATAGGGAAAATTTACTGCTGGACGTCAGTTCAAATGAAAAAGGCCTGAAGTATGAGATGATCAAAAAACATATTCACCATCCATTCAGCAAATGATTATGAATACCAGCTGTGTACTACGTACTAGTAATTGGAGTATAGAGATAATATCTAGCAGTACTTAAAAAGAGCCCATAGTTTAAAAGACAGACAAAACTCAAAATTCAGGGGAAGTGGTTTCAACATTAAATCAGTCATTGAATATTTGCTATAGGGTAAGTACTTTTATAAGTACTGGAGATAAAGAAGTAGACAAACAAAGCATGGTCCCTGGTCATCTTGTTTTCTGGACTATGGAGGGAGTAGCTCAGAGGCCCTGAAATGGAGAATCAGATTGATGTTGTACATTTGTGGTTCAGATAGGAAGTTACCTGGAGCATACTTGCTTGGGTGGCTAGATGTTTAGTTAGGCAAGGATTTGATGTTGCAGGCCTTATGGACCATGGTTAGAACTTTGAATTTTATTTTATTTTAAATATTTATTTTTTAGTTGTAAGTGGACACAATATCTTTATTTCATTTTTAATGTGGTGCTGATGATCAAACCCAGTGCCTCACATGTGCGAGGCGAGCACTCTACCACTGAGCCACAACCCCAGTCCTTTTTGAATTTTATTTTGAGTATTATGGGAAACCATTCCAGAGAATGGCATGATCTGATTTCTGTTTGGCTAGTCAACACAGTATTGTGTGTGTGGTTGCAGAAAGACTGGTTAGTTATCCAGAAGAGGGGAAATATGAAATCCTACTTAGGGAAGATAGGCAAGGATTCATAATGGAATAATGTCATATCAGAGCCTTGGATGACAAGATATTTGCTATACAAGAAATTAAGATTTGTGTTTGTGTTTGTGTTGTTGAACCAAAAATAACTTTGGATGACTAGTTGAGTAGGTGAATGTCAAGAGATAGGGCTTAAAAGATAAAAGAACTAGAATTGCAGGGTTACCACATTTTAGTGCTCAGTTCTGTTTAGGTACATGCTCTGGAGTAGTTGTAACAGGGTGGCTTGCTAGGGAATTTGACTCTGAACTTAAGGGCCATGGTCATCTATACAGGGCTTTTAATTATGGTAGAGACTTTTTTTAAGCTGGCATCAGTGATGATTAGATGGGACATTGCTAGGGAGGAAAAATCAAATGGGAGGCAAGAGACATTGAGGCTTGATATTAGGGACTATTAACTGGAAGTCAAGACTTTGAGCAAAGAATGAATTGTCAAAGAGGATCTGAGGAATAAACTGGAGGAAAAAAAGCTAATGAGGCCCCTTTAAAAAAAAAAAAAAGTCTAAAATAAACCAGGCACAGTGGCACATGCCTGTAATCCCAGTGATTTGGGAAGATGAGGCAAGAAGATCACAAGTTTGAAGCCAGCCTCAACTAAGACCCTGTCTGAAAATTAAAATAAATAATACATTGGGCTGGACATGCTCAATGGAAAAGTACCACAAAACAGTATGAAATATGAAACTACAGAAGAATATATAGAGTACATAAATTTCCACCTCATTCCACTTCTCCAGAGTACTTAAAATTACATTTAAAATAATTATAGTTGTACAGAATGCCTTTATTTTATCTATTTTTATGTGGTGCTGAGGATCAAACCTAGTGCCTCATGCATGCTACGTAAGCACTCTGTGTGTTGAGCTACAGCTCCAACCCCTAAAATCACTTTTTTTTGTAGTTGGACCAACACTTAATTTCACTTGTTTATTTTTGTATGTGGTGCTGAGGATCGAACCCAGGGTCTCGCAAGTGCAAGGCAAGCGCTCTACCGCTGAGCCATAGCCCCAGCCCTAAAATCACATTTTAAAAAAATATTTTTTTGTTTTAGTTATAGATGGACACAATACCTTTATTTTATTTATTTTTCATGTGGTGCTGAGAATAGAACCCAGTGTCTCACATGGGCTAGGCAAGCAAGCACTCTGCCACTGAATCACAGCCCCACTTTTTTTTGGTCCCTGGATTGAACCCAGAGGCACTCTATCATTGAGACACGTCCTTAGCCCTATTTTTTTTTTTTTTTTTTTTGGTACCAGGGATTGAACTCAAGGGTACTCAACCACAGGCCCACATCCACAGGCCAGTTTTATATTTTATTAGAGACAGGGTCTCACTGAGTTGCTTAGTGCCTTGCCATTGCTGAGGCTCCCTTTGAACTTGTGATCCTCCTGTCTCAGTCTCCTGTGCCGCTGGGATTACATACAGGTGTGCACCACTGTGCCCGGCTTATTTTGTATTTTATTTAGAGACAGGATGTCACTGAGTTGCTTTGTGCCTCACTTTTGCTGAGGCTGGCTTTGAACTTGCAATTCTCCTGCCTCAGCCTCTCAAGCTGCTGGGATTACAGGCGTGTGCCACTGTGCCCAGCTCTAAAATCACATTTATTTGTTGTATCTTTCATTTTCCTGTATGTGTTTATTTTTTGTGTATATCCAATTCTTTGTATATATGCTTATACACATACAGTTGAATTAGTGTCATACCCTGTTTTTTACAACTTAGTATTATCAGATAATACCAATATAATTTGATTAGTCTACCTTTAAGCTGTTGCAGATTTTCTGCAGTAGTGAAATGAGCATTCTTTTTCATTTGTCTCTATACTGTGCAAAGAGTATAAGAAATAAAATAAGGCTTTCCCTGATAGTCCAGAGTGGGAAAGAAGTAGGACTAATGGGTAAAAGTGGGAATTCTGCAGACTCTGGTCAGTGTGGATAGGACTTTATGGAACAGAACTTTCATATGAATGGGTTGTAAGAATGGTGGGTTTTTCATCATTGGATGCATTCAAGCAGAGGTCAAGGTGCTATGGAGGGGTAAGTTGACTTCTAAGAATCTTCAACTTTAGTTAACAGCATTCCAAATAGAAACCATGAGGGATCAAGATTGGTGCAGTGGTCTGGGTGTGGAGAGAGCTTGACTGAGGGTCAGTGTAAGGATGGCTGTGGCTGGAAGCATCCTGAGAATACTGTTGGGGAAGTTGGAATGTTACAGATGGTCTTCAGATGTATGAGCAGGGGAACATAGGAATAGTAAGAAGTCTGAAGACGATTGGTACGGTGGCTGTAGGAGGAAGAACTATATTGGAGCCAAATTATGATTCATGCAAGTTAGTGTGTCCAGCGGAGGAACTGGGTAGATGTTGAAGCTTTGTGCTGCTTGATTTGGGAAGCAAGAGGCCAGTAAGAGCTGGGTGGGCTTAAAGTTCAGGCTGGAAACAGCCTTTTGGGTTGCATTCAGCAAATATTGTCTGGGTGCTTGGGACACAGCAATGAACAGAACAGATAAATACTCCTTCCCTCACAGCATTTACATTCTAGTGTGGGAGATAGATTATATAGATAAAAATATATGTAATTTGTTAGACACTTATAAATGCTAGAGTGAAAAAGCAGGAAAGGAATATGTGATGTGCCAATGATGGTAGGCTTGGAATTTTAGAGTGGCTTGAAAGGAGAGCCTTTTCATTCATAGCAAAGAAGATGATACTGAATGAGGGGTTGGGGAGGGGAGCAACAAGCCATGCAATAATATGTGGAAAGATGTGGTTGGCTTATTTGAAGAATGGCAAGCTGGGTAGCTAGAATGAGTGAACAGGAAAGAAGGTGTTAGACCAGGTTAGAGAAATGTAAGAGCAATGGAAAATCTTTAAAGGGTTTAGGCAAAGGTTTATGCTGTTTATTTTTATTTATTTATTTATTTATTTTGATGGGCCTTTATTTATGTACATGTGGTGTTGAGAATGGGACATATTCTAGGCAAGTGCTCTACCACTGAGCTACAACCTCAGCCCAGGCAAAGGTTTTGACTTGACAAGGAATGTGTGTTTTGCTAGGGATTGAACCCGTGAGTGCTCTACCACTTTTTAACTGCATCACCTCGGTTGGGATATTGAGAATAGCCTTTTGGGGTGGAGATGGGGCAGTGGAAATGTGGGATGGCATAGGATATGGGAGTCCAGAGGCTAATACTGTAATTTAGGTGAGGAATAACAATGACATGGACTAAATAGTGGCAGTGGAAATGTTGAGTTGGACACGAACAGCTGATTTTAGATTAAGAGAATGGGTGAAGCTGGGTGTGGGTGTGATCCCAATGACACAGGTGGCTGAGGTAGGAGAATTGCAAGTTCAGTGCCAGACTCAGCAACTTAGGACTTAACAAGTCCCTAAGCAACTTAGTAAGACCCTGTCTTAAAATTTTAAAAAGGGCTGGTGATGTGGCTCAGTGATTGAGTGCTCCTGGGTTTGATTCCTGGTATTAAATAAAATAAAAAATAAAGAGAATAAGTGGGTGAATCAACTGTACTCCAAGATGTTGGTGCCCAGGGTGGCAAGTCATTGAAGCAAGAGCTTTTTTGGGAGCAGTATCTGGATCATGGTTGCATTGATGACAATATGGGACTAGAACTTGGATTAGGGTCTGACCTAGGGCCCGTAAAGGTTCAGAATGAGATTCATTGGTTTCTGCAAAGATTAATGTTGGAGTACAAGACTGGGATTAGGATCAGTGTTTGAGTGAGGATTACTTAGGAGTCAAAAGCTATTTCCCCTTTTCAACATCTTCTTGTCATACTCTTTGAGAAAAGGATTGGTTGTAATCATTGAATCTGTGCCATTGAGGTTGGGGATATTGAGGGTATAGGGCCTTTTCTTCCTTGGGTGTTCTGGGAGTGGATGCCAGCTCATCTCTGCCTGGGTGAAAATGCTGACCTTTCCAACTGGGACCTACAGTCAGGGAAGGGTGAAGAATGGTCCTGGTGCTTGACTGAGCTCTTTTCCTCCAGATGGCCAACTGTGTGACCTTGGTTCAGCTGTCCATTTCCTGTGACCACCTCATTGACAAGGACATCAGCTCCAAGTCAGACCCACTCTGCGTCCTTTTACAGGATGTGGGAGGGGGCAACTGGGCTGAGGTGAGGTGGGCCTTGGAGGTTATGGAGGGAGGTTAGGTTTAGGTTTTAGGATGAAGGGTGTGTGATTGTGATGCTTATTGGCCTTTGCCCTCAGCTTGGCCGGACTGAGCGAGTACGGAACTGCTCAAACCCTGAGTTCTCCAGGACTCTGCAGCTCGAGTATCACTTTGAGACAGTCCAGAAACTACGCTTTGGAATCTATGACATAGACAACAAGACACCAGAGCTGGGAGATGATGACTTCCTAGGGGGAGCTGAGTGTTCCCTGGGACAGGTATGTAGGGCCAGGGATTAGAATCCTTTAGTAAGTGCCCTCTGAGATAATCTAGGCTTCTAGGCTCCCTGGAGGTAGGGGGGACAAGAGGACCTGGCTGTCTGGCATTGAAGCTTCCTTGGCCTATTTTGCCATAGATTGTGTCCAGCCAAATGCTGACTCTACCCTTGATGCTGAAGCCTGGAAAACCTGCTGGGAAGGGAACCATCACGGTAAGCCCCAGCAAGGGCCAGGTAGGAATTTAGCAACAATGAAGTTTTCATGAGGTAACAGAATCCTTCCTATCTAGGTCTCAGCTCAGGAGTTAAAGGATAGTCGTATAGTAACAATGGAGGTAGAGGCCAGAAACCTTGATAAGAAGGTACATCTGGGAGGAGGCCCTGGGGACCCAAGATTATAAAGGGTGGGGGTGGTTAATAGGGGATAGGATGGGTGTGGGGCTGGCAAAGTGGTTGTTTCTTCCTGAGTCTTGTAACAAGTCTTGTGGCATTGACAGGATTTCCTGGGAAAATCTGATCCATTTCTGGAGTTCTTCCGCCAGGGTGATGGGAAATGGCACTTGGTGTACAGATCTGAGGTGCGAGATCCTGGGATTAGGTGGGGGAAGAGTAGGAGAGAATCTCTTGGGCTTGCAAGGTTTGGAACACAGGGAAAAAGAGACTGCAGGTGGGTGTGGAAGGGCAGCAACTTCACACAGGCTCACGTGGGCCAGGCCAGAGCTCACTGGAAGCCTTGCCCTCCACCTCCAGGTAATTAAGAACAACCTGAATCCTACCTGGAAGCGCTTCTCAGTTCCCTTTCAGCATTTCTGTGGTGGAGACCCTAGCACGCCCATCCAAGTAAGGAGCTTGCTTCCTGAATGAACTGAGCAAGGGAGAAGAGCCTGGAGAAGGACTTCTAACCTGTCTCCTTTATCTATATACACACACCTTTCCTCAGGTACGCTGCTCAGACCATGACAGTGATGGGTCACATGATCTCATTGGTATTTTCCACACTAGCTTGGCCCAACTACAGGCAGTCCCGGTGAGTCTGTTAACGCTGCTTAGGTGTATTGAGGTGGGCTTAGATGGCTAATCCAAGGGAATAGTGGGAACAATGCAGCTTGGGAGATTTTTACCCTAATTTTCCTCTCCTTACCAGGCCGAGTTTGAATGTATCCACCCTGAGAAGCAGCAGAAAAAGAAAAGCTATAAGAACTCTGGAACTATCTGTGTCAAGATTTGCCAGGTGAGACAGTAGCTTATGGGATCAATGGGCTATGAACCCTGAGCTCCAAGATTCCATCCCCCTTTTACCTGATTAGGCATGACACTGGTTTCATATGCAGGTAGAAACAGAATATTCCTTCCTGGACTATGTTATGGGAGGCTGCCAAATCAACTTCACTGTAAGTTGCCTTACCAGAGACAAGAGAATCAACCCTAACCCTAACCTTAACCCTTCAGCTCCCTTCCTGGCCTCTTCCCAGGTAGGTGTTGACTTCACTGGCTCCAATGGTGATCCCTCCTCACCTGACTCCCTGCACTACCTGAGTCCTACAGGAGTCAACGAATACCTGACAGCACTATGGAGTGTGGGCAGTGTAGTTCAAGACTATGACTCGTGAGTACCCGTTTCTCTTGGCCAGTCCCACTCCCTACAGATGCTTCAACCTCTGGGTTTACAATCCCCTCACTGCCTCTTCCCCAACTCACTGTCTTTCTACAGGGACAAGCTGTTCCCAGCATTTGGATTTGGGGCCCAGGTACCCCCTGATTGGCAAGTAAGCTCTCTCCCCGATCCCACTCCACCCCACTGCCTCCCCCCCTTCCCGTTTTTTCTTGTAGCTGTAAATGGACAGAATGCTTTTTATTTATTTTTTTAAATATATTTTTTTAAGTTATTGACGGACCTTTATTTTATTTATTTATATGTGGTACTAGGAATCAAACCCAGAGCCTCACAAGTACAAGGCAAGCTCTCTACTGCTGAGCTACAACTCCAGCCCCAGAATGCCTTTATTTTGTTTATTTTTATATTTTGGTAAGGATCAAACCCAGTGCCTCATGCATGTTAGACAAGTGCCCTGCCCCACTGAGCTACAGCTCCAGCCCCCATTTTTGTTTTTAGTTTCAGAATCCTAACTTGGGGGGGGATGTAGTTAACTTACTTGCTGCCTTGAAGGGGATGCATCCCTGTAGGCATGTATATGTCAAGCTTAGGACTAAATAGCTCCTGGTATATACCATAGGGTTTTTTCTTCTTTTTTGCACATGCTGTACCATTGAGCTACACCCACTCGGCATAATAATGGTGAGGGGGACATGGGAAGGAAGGAGACTGACTCATTTTCATTTTTGCCTTCAGGTTTCACATGAATTTCCCTTGAACTTCAATCCCAATAACCCATATTGTGCAGGTAAGTTCCCTCTATCCTCCATTGTGAAGCAGATCTCTCCACTCCTGAGTGGTGAGCCTCTGGCAGAGAAAGCAGGTGGGGAGGTGGCTGACACTTTGTCTAGAGGAGTAGATTTTAGAGCTAGCCCTCTGGAGTCAAATCTTAATCATACTACTTACTAAACTATATGACTTGGGGAAAGTTGCTCACCTCTGTGTGTTTGGGCTTTGCAATAAATGTAAATATTGTAAGTTATTGAGTATTGAAGAAATTAGAAGTAAAGCAGTAAATAGGAAGCAGTAATCCTGACAACATAAGTGCTCTCAGAATTGGTAGCTGTTATTGTTATTATTTGTTGCCTAGCGATTCACAGGACATCATTAGAAACCTTGATGCCTCCTCTGCAGGGGGTATTTTGCTAGTCTTCCAAGCCCTTTTAGTATTTTTTTTAGTTGTTGATCAACATTTATTTTTTATTTATATGTGGAGCTGAGGATCAAACCCAGTGCCCCATGCATGCTAGTCAAGTGCTCTGCCACTGTACTACAACCCCAGCCCCTAATTAATGTCTTTTTTTTTTTTTTTTGAAAGAACTTTTTAATATTTATTTTTTAGTTTTCGGTGGAAACATCTTTTATTTTTATGTGGTGCTGAGGATTGAACCCAGCGCCCTGCGCATGCCAGACAAGCGTGCTACCACTTGAGCCACATCCCCAGCCCTAATTAATGTCTTTTGACAAGAAACTTTGAAGCTGTTTAAATGCGCAGTTAAACATCAACCTTTACCCTTTAGATTTAATATCCATTGGTGAACCTCATTGGAATCAGTACTATGATAAATGATTTATATTTCTTCTTTTTTTATTTATTGAGCTTTTTCTTCTTCCCTAGTAATATCTGTATTGATTCTTACTGTATTAGATTATAATTTTTACTTTAGTAGGTTATAATGATGCTTAATTCAAGCCATTATTTTAGGCAATTTTCCTCCTCTCTTTGTATAGAGTTAAGTACCCAGGGTTACAGGGTGAATGAAATGCATCTACATTCCCAAATCTTCTGGCCAGGGTACTGATTTCAGGATCAGCCTAATCTTGAGAGGTCAAGTATTTTATAATGTTTCTTGCCCTTGTTCTCTACAGGCATCCAGGGCATTGTGGATGCCTACCGCCAAGCCCTACCCCAAGTACGCCTCTATGGCCCCACCAACTTTGCACCCATCATCAACCATGTGGCCAGGTTTGCAGCCCAGGCTGCATATCAGGGGACTGCCTCGGTGAGGGTTGTGGGTATTGTAGCAATGGAGTAGTGAGGGCTGTGCATCAAGGGACTTTTTATGTATGGGAGTGTGTGGCTAAAGTAGAGGAGTTTGGGAAAGAGGATCTGACTCAGTGCATGAATGGGCTTACCCCCAGCAATACTTCGTGCTGTTGCTGTTGACTGATGGTGCTGTGACAGATGTGGCGGCCACATGTGAAGCTGTGGTGCATGCCTCGAAACTGCCCATGTCAGTGATTATTGTGGGTGTTGGTGGTGCTGACTTTGAGGCCATGGAACAGCTTGACGCCGATGGTGGGCCTCTGAGGACACGCTCTGGAGAGGCATCTGCCCGCGACATAGTACAGTTTGTGCCTTATCGCAAATTCCAAAATGTGAGTGGGCGTGAATCTGGGGGTTTACTCTTCCTGATATGGGTTGAGGCTCAGGACTTTCATCAAAGTCTTAGGGTTGGGTCTTTGGTTTTGTGTCCTTCCTTGGGTGTGAGATGTAGACCTTAGGAAGCTGTTGTAGGCCCCCACTGACCTTGCCCTTCTTCTCCTGGCAGGCTCCTCGGGAAGCATTGGCTCAGACTGTACTTGCAGAAGTGCCTACACAGGTGGTCTCCTACTTCAAGGCCCAAGGTTGGGCCCCATTCAAGATGCCTCCATCCCCCGCCAAGGGTCCTGTCCAGACCCCACAGGTCTAGATTCCCTTGGAGGGTGGGCTATGGCTAGACCAGGTCCTTAGCCTTGTACCCCCAAGATTCTCTGGGCCATGGCCCAACCCTAGACCCATGCTAGCACTTTATATTTGATACTTTTATACTGGCTTCTGCTATTGCTGCTCTTCCTGTTTGTCCCTTATCATTTAATAAAGACCAGTAAAAGACCACTGCTGTGCCACTCTGTATTTTGGGTAAGATTCCATTAGCAATGTTTACTTCTCTGAACTTCAGGGGTGCTGATCCTGAATGATGCCTAAAGATGGGTATTTCTAGCCAGATTTCTGTTCCTTCCAAAGAAGCTGACTAGTTTTGAAAATACAAAGTCTGAATATAAGGGAAACACACAGCCTTTCCTTTTAAGGTGTAACGGGCTATATTACACTTCCTAGAGGAGGGAGCAGTGGTAGTTCTGGTCCTAAATATAGGCTATAAAACCTGAATTTTTTTTTTTTTTTAACAGCGATTTTCTTTTTTTTCCTTACTAGAGATTTAATACCTATATTCATTGTAGAAAGACTTTTAAGGATGGGGCATGATGTCTCATTGTGTTGTGTAGGCTGGCCTTCAACTCCTGAACTCAAGCAATCCTCCTGCCTCAGCCTCACAAGTGCTCTGGACCACAGGCACATGCCACTGTGCCTTAGACTTATTTTTGTAATAGTAGGGATTGTACCCGAAGTGCTGTACTACTGGACTACAAGCCCAGTACTTTTCATTTTGAAACAAACAGGGTTTTGGGAAGTTGCTGAGGCTGACCTAAAACTTGGGATCCTCCTGCCTCAGCCTCTATGTAAGTACAGAGTTATAAGCATGTGGGCTGGGGCTCAGCGGTAGAACGCTCGCCTTACATGTGCAAGGCCCTGGGTTTGATCCTCAGCACCACATAAAAATAAATAAAACAAAGGTATTGTATTCCAATACAACTAAAAAATATTAAAAAATATTAGGGCTGGGGCTATAGCTCAGTGGTAGAGCGCCCACCTTGATGTATGAGGCACTGGGTTCAATTCTCAACACCACATAAAAATAAATATATTGTGTCCAAGTACAACTAAAAAAAAAAAAGTAAAAATAAAAAATAGACATGTGCCACCATGCCCAGCTAGAAAAGTTTCAAATATAGAAAAAATAGATACACCAAGATTCTTGTCCTAATTAAAATATATTTGGTGCTTTTAGTCCTTTATGCGTATTTATAGGCCATGCGTACTGTTTTAGGTTGTTTTGTTTTCTAATTTTTAAAATATGTCCTGGTTAGTATAGATTACTTCACGTGTAAATATTATACAATGTAGATAATGCAGTAGGATAAGGGCCTCTGTTCTACACAAAAAAAGTTTTTCCTAAATAGGACATATTACATACTAGTACCTTATTTTTATTTAATATATTTTGGATGCCATATCTATCAGAACTTATTGCCTCACTTCATTCTTTCTGACACTGGGGATTGAACCCAGGGTTGCTATATCACTGAGCTACATCCCCAGTCCTTTTTTATTTATTTTGGAGAAGGGGTCTTGCTATGTTGCCCATAAGTATTATCTTTGAATATATATTTTTTTCTTGCTGAGTGCTGGGGCTTGGAACCACACACGGTCTTACATATGCTAGGTAAAGTGCTTTACCACTGAGCTATACAACCCCAGCTCTTTTTTTGTTATTTTTTGAGACAGTCTCACTGTGTTACCCAGGCTCAAACTTGTGAGTGTATCTAGGGTAATGATGTCTGTCTCAGATAGGTAGGATTGCAGGTGCATGCCACTATGCCCCTATATGTGGGTATTCTTCAGATAACACTTTTAAATATGGAATTGCTGTGTTAAAGAGTATAAAAAATGTAAGGCTTTTGGTTCCTGTTGTGAGACTATCCTCCAGAAAAATCTGTATTATTTTGTTTTTCCTTTCTTTCTCTCTTTTTTTTTAGTATTTAGTTTTTAGTTGTGGTTGAACACAATGCCTTTTATTTTTATGTTGTGATGAGGATCAAACCCAGGGCCTCACAGGTGCTAGACTTGAGCACTCTATTGCTGAGCCACAACCCCAGCCTTCATTTTTTCGGTGCTGGAATCAACCCCAGTACTGCCTCATGTATATTAGGTAAGCATTGTATCTCTAGCCCAAGATTTTGAGAGCACTTAATTTGGCTTCAAATTAAGTACAAAATAATATCCCTGAAGTTTAAACAGATGGATAAGTATTCCACCCCAATCCCAGTTTTACTTTCTAGGGAACTATTGATAGTCTGTATATTCTTATAAAACATGAACATACTAGCACATGCCTGTAATCCCAGTGGCTCTGGAGGCTGAGGTAGGAGGATTGAAAGTTCAAAGCCAGCCTCAGCAACTGCAAGGCACTAGGCAACTCAGTGAGTCCCTGTCTCTAAATAAAATACAAAAACTAGGACTGGGGATGAGGCTTATTGGTCAAGTGCCTCTGAGTTCAATCCCTGGTACCAAAAAAATAAACCATTAATATACTGAGAATTGGGGCTTGGGGTGTACCAGGGTTTGAACCTAGTAACAGCTTAAACCCTGACCCACATTTCCATTCTTTTAATATTTTTTTTTAGTTGTAGAGGGACACACAATATCTTTTAATATATTTTTATGTGGTGTTCTGAGGATCAAACCAGTGCCTCACACATGCTAGGCAAGCACTCTACCACTGAGCTACAGCCCCAGCCCCCCCAAGTCCTTTTTTATTTATTTTACATTTTGTGACAGAGTCTCACTAAGTTGCTTAGAGTCTTGCTAAATTGCTGAGGCTGGCTTTGAACTTGAGATCCTCTTGCCTCAGTTTCCCATTGCCAGAATCACAGGCATGTGTCATCACACTGGGCCATACTGGGAAATCCTAACACCCAAGATGTTGCATATTTCTTTACTCTTGCTATGCCCTTTTCTCTACTCCTAGGTAAAATTCATTAATTCCTTGATTGCCTGTCTCTTCCATCTATTTTCCTTGAATTCCTTCTGACCATTAGATTGAACAATTCTTGGATCTGTAAATAAATTCTCTTTCCTAGAGCATCTTCTTTATTTACCCTGCCAAGCTTCTTGAGGGCACACACTGATGAACACTAGATGGTGAACATCCACACTTTGTCAAACAGAGTCAGTCACTCAGGTCTCAGTGAAGACTACCTGCATAAGGGCTACTAGGCCTGCATCACCTCTTTGATTCAGAAGCTTCCTTAAGTCTCCTTAGTGTTTGAAGAAATGTATTTTCCCCTCCATCTGTACCTAGTAGGATTTGGGAAGCTTCCCAGACATTGGTGGATGGGAATTGAGGAGTTTAATCATGTCTTCAGCTGCCTGTCAGCTCTGCAATTAAAGAGAGCGGCCCTTGGAGGTAATGTGTAGTACAGAATGTCCACACAGCACTGGCTCTTGTACATGGTAAGCACTCCATGAACATCTGCTGCTATTATTTTGATCTGGACTTACTCTAAGAAAAGAGGATGCATTGGAAGGTAGACCCTATCATTTATATGCCAGAGATCTTTCCAGCCGAGACCCCCCTGGCTCAGTACTGATCTAGCTGCCTTCAGCACAGGGCTCAATTCTACTCCAACCATCAGCGTGTTTAATGGGACCCCCCAGTGGCCCCCATGGCACTATCCCCTGCCCCCTCTGAGGTTCGCACACCATGTGCGCGGACTCGATACAAGCATGTGAAACGTGGGTGGCCCCAGTTGCTTAGAATCTGGATCTTCACCTTTGGAAAGGCAGATGGAGGGTCATTCTGAGAAGACAAATGGATCATGCCAAAAAAAAAAAAAAAAATGCTCTTCCAAGGGCTGCCCTCCCCAATCATCTCTCTGCTGCACTGCCTTAATGGTGAGAGACACACCTGTAGATGGAAAGTCTGAATCTCAGATTTCTTCACATCAAAGGTGAATTTCCCCAAGAAAACTTCAGTCTCATCATCAACCTGAAGGCCCTGGTGGGTGAAGAGTGAATGGAGGAACAGTGAGGCATGGGGAAGGAAAACAACTTTGTGGGGGTTCTTCTTCTATGTGTTTGGTAATTGTGAGTATTCTGATGATAGGATGTGTAGTGTGGAATGTGGGCTCTTAAAAAACTAGGTTTTTTAAGTTTGGCCAATAGTTAGTTGTGTTACTGGGGAAAGTAATACCTCCTCTTCCAGAGTATTACTTTCCTTATATATAAAAGGGGAGATAATAGTATTTCATCGGTGGTGAGATGGATTCAATGAAATAATGCATGTAAAGTGCTTGGCCTAGAGAAAAGGCTCAATAAGCCATAACTAACATTTGGATATAGTCATGATTATTTATAACCTATAGCAGGCCTGAGAGGCAAGTGGCTTTGTCTGATACAAAAATGAGCAAGCAAAGCCTCAAATAACCTGCCCTAGTTATTATGATCGCTTTGTGCTTTCTAAGCACCCCCCACCTCCTGGCCTCAGTACCACTCACAAAGATTGCGAAGTCTCTGGGGGCGCTGTTGGCTCCCCCGGTGTGTGCCACACTGGGCGGTGGATGCTGTAGGGTGATGTCGCTCAGCTCCACACGACCTGGCAACCTGATGACCACCTGACCCTGGTCGCCCTCAAAAGCCCAGCAATTTCCAGGGAACACATCTGGCTGCAGGCCGGGTAGGGGTGGTAGAGGGAAGAGATCATCAGAACCCACAAAAGAGAGCAACTGCCGTCCTTTCCCATCCTCTACTCCTCCCAGAGGGTCACTTCCAGTCCGGATCCCTATCAAGCCAGATGCCGCCCAGTGCTCAGTCCCCAGCGCTGTTAGGTGTCTTCATTTTAACCCCATCCTCTGCTTTCAGCACAGCCTCACCCTGGCCAAGCCAGACCGGGCTTTTCAGCCGGTCATACCCTTCTGCACCGCCAGGTTCCGCCTCCACGGAACTCCAGGTCCCGCCCCTTGATCTCATCCTGGGATACCGATTACAGGCCCACCTCCAGGATGACCGAGGGCGGCCGCGCGTAGTTCCAAAAGCTGAAGCGGTTCCAGAAGTAGGCAGTGTTCGTGTCCTGGTAGTCGTGGGATGTCTTCTCTAGATCGATGGAGGCTCCTGTAGTAGGGAGGAGTAACCCTCAGGAGTTCCCAGGCCTTACCCCCTGCTGGGGAAAGATCTGTGTCAGGATCTCTCTTTGCCTGTCTCTGAGTCTTACCCACAGA